AGAAAGAAAGAAAGAAAGAAAGAAAAAGAAAGAAAAAAAGAAAGTTTTTCTGCCTTAGTGGAAACATTTGGAGGTAAGGTGGGGAAGTAGAAATCTCGAGTAACCAAGGGGTTAAAGATACAGTTTACACTTGGGAGTTCTCTATAATATGCTCCTCCTTTCCTAACATTGCTGCCAAAAATCATCTGACAGGAAACATAAGATTAAGTTTGTCCTACCTAAGTGAACAAAGAGTGCTCAGAACAGGCAACCAGTTCACTGCAGAGCGGGAACTTTTCTAATCCTGCTGGAATCTGCAGTGCTGCTCAGAAATATTACTAAAGTTGTTTTCTTTACTTTAACATCTTGCTTCTGGATCATCTCATTCATTTTGGTCACACTACAGTTCTTGCTGCTTCCCCCATAAAGGTTAACTTAAAGCTCCAAACATAATCATGTGGAAAATGGACATTATTGATTCCTATGGTCCATTGTTCCCCCATTCTAAGTCCCTGAAGTTCAAGTTCAATCTGGAATTACATCATGTCTGGTTTCTCCTGGTTACCAGACGGCTTGAGACGTGACCACAGCTACAGAAAAAACAAACAGCCTTCTTCACGCTTCGGCTCCCCTATCGATTCAAACATAAACTTTTTTTCTTTCTCTCAAGTATGCTTCAAGTATGGAGCATGGTTAATTTAGAGATTAAGTTCCAAATTAGATTATCTAATGGCATCTTAATGGATTGCTGACCCATTTCCTGTGGGATGGCAGCATGCAAGTCTGGCTTGAATACAATTAATTTCTTAGGAAGTGTCTGAAGATGTTTGCCTAGATGGAGAGGAAACATAATGTTCTGCACATCTTTCTCTATTACAGAGTTGAGCGTAACTACTAGAGTTAGCAATTTAAATTGATAAAGACCAGAAATCACTAGGTTTTCTTTCTATTAATACTTCTACGGTAAGTATACTTTAAGCATTTTTGTTCTTAAATCATAATGCCTGAATTGATATTTCTTTTCCAAAACATTACTCAAGGCAGAAAGGGAGGGAAGGAGAAAAGGGGAGGGGGGAGAGGGGGCAGAAGTAGGTCAATGACACGAACCATTGATATAACAGGTGTCCATATTTGCCAAAATGTGCTTATCACATTTATCACGTGTTTATGACTGTGTTACTTTACCTATGTGTTTGCTAGATTCCAAACACATACAAGGTACTGTGAGATAAAAGGAATTTACGCCCATTCTCTTTTGTCCTCCTGCTTCTTCCACAAACCAGAGATTATCCACTTGGCCATCTTATCAACACTATTGCTATAAACCCAGAACGATGCTTGGGGAAAAGTGCTGCTTGGAAAGTTGAGCATCTGAACACGCCTACAGCTAGAGCTGGGAAGGAAATTCAGTACTCTGAGAATAAAACTCTCCCCAGCATCTCCAGGAACAAAACAGCTGTTGTACTGTACATTTGTGTCAAGATAACAGGCTGAAAGCAGGAAATGCTAACATAGTGCATTTGCCCACATAGTGTAAATATAATATTAAAGCTACAGTTAACTCATAAAAGTAACATATATTCTAGTATGAATAATAATAATAATAATAATAATAATAATAATAATAATAATAATAATAATAATAATAATAATTTGCATTATATAGAATAAATAAAAATGGTATTTAATGATATCTGAGTTAAAATGTACACTTTGGCAATGAAACTTTGCTTGCAGTATATGAAAGACTTGCAAATACTCCACACACAATTAAAGAGCCCCATCATGCAGGCTGTTAGAATGGTCCCGCTGGAATTACTGTCCAGTAATACCATCCAATAATGAGTGCCTAAGACTCAAGCTCTTGTTATCAGGCTTCCTCCCCAACACATGCACAATTCTTCCTCACTCTCACTCATGCCTTGTTGCATATGCTCTTGCTCTCAGACAGTGACTGCCTTCTCCTAACCGACCCTTACAGATTTTCATAACTTCCCCTTAGCTTCTATCTCCAAGGAAAGTTATTATTACAGAACAGCAATTATGAAAAAAAGAAGAGGTATTTTTAATGGATTCTGAGTATCTTCTTTATACATAGAGCTACATCAACCTAGATTATCTTAAAAGTACTACAGAGTCCAATTCTGCTGATGAGCTTAAACATTGTTCAAAGTTCAACAGATATAATAATATATATATAATAAACACTATACAAACAGCAAAAAGTTAATTATAGGTAGACAGGCTATCAGGAACAAAATAAAAATGACTTTCCAGTACCTTACCAAATAATGATTTTTGCCATTTTTTAAGATGCTCACAGGAAGTTTTATCTCCTTTAAAGATACCAATATGTTTAATTCATGTGATAAAGGTATTTGTGTATTTTCAGTTATCACTACTCCTTACACTTCTTCTACTTCTGAAGAAAATGGTCATCACAGACTTAAATGCTTTTTTATTTGTTTGTTTTGTTTTGTTTTAATCTCCTATTACTCATATTTTCTCTGTTTGCAAATTTCAGTCTTCTATGTATCAATAAGATGTGTCTTATGTCTGGGACTATGAATGTTAACATAATTTTACAAGGAAGGAAAATCACAGCAAATTTATTTTGATGTCTGTGTACCATATCTACTGTCATATGAAAGGCAGCTACTAATGAGACAAAGAACACAAAAATAACAGAGGTTTTCTCATCTTCTGCCATCTTCCCTAAGTTCTGAAAACTCAGGTCATCAATATATCAGGACAAAGATTTCAGCTTGGTCTCTTCCCTTACCTGATTCTTGTACAGACAAGACAACTAACATTTGGATAACATTCACTGCCAAAATTTGACTTTCTTGAGGTCAATGACATTTCTGAAAACCATTATACTTAAAATAACGACAAAAGCTTGCTATAAAAGGTAAGACTGAGTACCATCAAAAAAAGTACTGCAGATTTGACAAATTCACACAATCAAACATTTGTCAAACAATTTTGTGGGAGAAAATTTGACTGTATGGACAGTCAAATTGCTGCTCTCTCTCTGACAGTGAGCAGCAATTCCTTTTGCAATCAATTCTTATCCTTTTTTTTTTGCTTTTTTTTTTTTTTTCCAGTGCTTACTAGTTTTAGTGTTAGAAAGGCTCACTGCCCCTTGTTCTACTCAGATATCATTTCTGTTCTTAGATCCCCACTTACATGGGGATTTCAATAATTCTATATTCCAAAGCCCAAATCCTAAAGCTGTCTACTTAGGGAGAACTACAGGAAGTTTCTTTGTCCTCCAAGGCTGTGCTTAATTCTAGGCCAAATAAGAAAGGCCCAGGCACGTCAAGAGGTGCCCATGCAAGCACCAATTTGTGCCCAAGCTCACCTGGCAGAATTTGTGTCCACTGGTAGGGCCAAACTGGCAAATAGCACTCCAGGAGCTACCTGCAAACCAGTTTTACATATAAAGATGAACAAGTAAAAGAATGTGCCTGCATTCATCACCAAAGTTTCCTTGATCATCACCTGGAAAATTTTCCCCCATTTTCCTTTCTTTTCATGAATTACTCCCCCAGGTTGTGAGTGATAGGTACTGAAAAAAAAATAAAAAAAATAAAAAAAAAAAACAACAACAAAAAAAACCACCAAACAATTCACCAAAAGCCAGGACAGGGCTTCAGCTGATATAAACTGTCATTGCTTTAAAGAGGTCATGAGTGATGACTGATTTAAACTATTCAAAAATATTCCTACGTAGACAGTTGTGTGATAATTTGCTAATGCCTGTCAATGACCAGTAGAATAAAAACATCCTTTGTAGGGGTGGAATAAATCACCACCACTGCCAACCCCATGCTACACTAGCTCAGTTCGGATTCACTCTTGACAGTACATTGAAAACTGTGGCAGTTATTGCATGATGGGGGTTGTAACGGGAATCATAGCCCTTGAGGAGGTGAGGTGAATCCATTAGTTAATTTGTGCCTTTCATTCTGCCTTTGTGCTATAATCTGTTATGGAAGAAATAACTACACCTTGCTTTCGCACAACAATTTTTCCAGATAAACATTATATCAGAAAAACTGCAGAAAGCAAAACAACAATATTTAAAGCATTTCAAGCTGAGATTTGTAAGCAGCACTACTTTTCAAATTCTGTAATTACCCTTCCAAGCTGAAACTCAAAAAATCCCCAAACTTCTAGAAATCCATAGCATAATATAGTACATTAAAAAGCATTCTATATATACATATACACACACTTACATACATGCTTACACAGAGTGTAAGTGCCTAGTGCTTATACTGTCCTACATGTATGTACTCAAATGCCTAAGAAGTATTTAAAATTATCTTGAGATTGAGTAGCTACATTTGACAGGCTCCCAACCTGTGTGCTTTACATGAATGACCCCCATTAATAGTTGCAGATAATCCTGCACATGAAAGAGGTGGGAATCAGATATATCACAATTACACTGATTTGTTTACACATCTATTTAGATACACACACCCCTACTGTTACCATAATTCATTATATGCCAACAGATGTAAAGGATAATAACAAGTAATGGATTAATGTACCAAAAGCTGTGGGATTTGTTGGGGAGTGGGGAGGAAGGTATTTTTTCACCCATTTTGAGGGTGGGCTTCTTTTTGCTTTCTATATTTTTGTTTGCTTTTTTGTTTTTGCACACAAAATAAACTGTCTTTTGTGGAAACACTTCCTAATTATTTTGGTATTTAGTTTAGAAATATGATGGTTTATATCTTACCTTCATGTACGTTAGTGACCTAAATCTACACGGGCTTATTAGTCACAAATGTCTCTGTTAATACTATGGTTATTCATTGCTCAATACCACCACCTCTCACAGCACCATTTTCTTTGTATTAGCCAGTAAGTCCCCCGAAATACGATGTTTAATTACGCAAGTGACATTTTCATTTTTAAAACCTAAAATCAGTATACTCTTAAATTTGTAAACACTTCGCATTTGACAGCACAACATCGTCATTCCAGGTGCTTAATTAGAGTAGCTCCTAAATTCAACTTACATTAAAGATAATCTAAATGTGTACTGGAGAAATATTACACACATTTTGATCAGATTCTGTCACATATTCCTCTGGAGGCCCGCTAAAACAGATACTGTAGCTCAATGTAAATTTTTAATGTGGTGTAGGGGAAATAATTAAAATGTTACCTTTGCCAAGTAATTCCCAATGTATCCTCACTGGCACTGGGGTATAAATGCCTGCCGTTTTGATTCATGGTCCAGTCACAAATCCTCAGCTGTCAATTGAAACCTAGCAGTCAGATATGGATCGAGCAGTACTACAGTTTTTAGTATTTAAATGAATACATGCAAAATAGTATTGTACATGGCAAAAGCCTTACTTTCCCAAGAAGAAACTTAAAAAAAAAAAAAAAAGGAAAAAAAAAAAGAAAACAAACAAAAATAACTTACTCTAAAAATAAATGCCTATAGATTTGCTTAAGATAATGCTATTTTAATATGCTCCTCTATTAATAAAGCGTAAAAGAGTAACTAGTGTTTAGCACATAACAATTAGCCATTATTAGATTACAAATTGAGCTGGAATAAAAGGAAATGTTAATATTCAATAGTGAAATATTTTAAGAAAGAAAATATAAATGCTGTTTTCTTTAAGCAATGCTCTAAATTGTGTATTAAATAAAGGTCTAATATAGTCAATATCTTGTAGCATGCATTTCGTGAAACATAGAAGACATGCAATTTATAGAAATATTGTCCAAATTAAACAAACTGTATGTCCTTATCTTGCTATTTAAGAAGGGTAAAGGTATTTTGTAATTGAAGTTTATTAATTTAGTGTTACAGAAAGCAGTATTACTTAGCAAGAGGTGATAAAATAATCTAATCTTGGTTTAGGCTCAGAATAATAACATTTAAAAAACTTTATTGCTTTTTAGTAAAACGAAGAATGTACTAAATGTAAGCTGAAACAAATTCTTCCCAGATCTTCAAATCATCAGTTCTTCTCATGGATTGTTCTAGCAACCCTGTTATAGCTTTGCTTGTGTAACAGCTGCTCTGTAGTGTTAGCAGATTTATTGAAAAGATATACGACTTATTTTTAAGTTTAAGAAAGTGAACTTATCTGGCTTGCAAAGCAAGCATACAATTTAACCTCTGTATAGTCATGCTATATATAAATTGCTGTACCATTATGTATGATACAGAACTCTGAATTGAAGATAATGTTGTTTCTGAGTTTAATTACATTCAGTGCATTCTGGTTTTCTCTATTCATATTCACAGTCTTCAGACAGCACAAGCTACAGCAAAGAAACTACAATATTTTCACAGGAGCACAGTTAATTGCAGCCTTTTCCTGAAAAATACAAATGCTAGGGACAAGACAATATTGCAAACCTGACCCTGTCTGGCTGTTACACTCATAAGCTTCCTGCTGTTAAGGTCTGAGAAATGGAAATGTTAGCCTCTGTTGTTTTCATAGGGATTGTTACTTGTTTGTTATCTAAAGAACTCAAAGGGACCTTCTAAAGGCCATTAAAAGCATGACTAAACCACATGAAATTAACCAGAAAAGGAAATATACATGCAGAAAGTTTGCTAGAGGTAACGGTGAATAATACAATAAATATGTTTAAAGAAAGGAGTAAGTAAATGTTTGGTTTATTCACTATGCAAAACTGTATTGTAAACCAAATTTTCATATTGAAGATGTAGTAAAATGTCACCTCAGTTACTTGTACAGAAGTTGTATTTTTGTTATAATGCTTAAGAATATGATAAACTTCATTACAGAAGCATATTTTAAAGCTTTATAACTTAACTATAAAAAGTCATTTCCAGCTGAAATATAAGCCTGAAAGAGTAAAAAACACATAAACCTCTTATTCTTTCATAATATATATATGTGTGTGTGTATATATATATATACACACACATTATATATATATATACATTATATATATATAAAATATATATATATATATATATATAAAATCTACAAATAAAAACTCTTCAGAATTATAAGCATAAAGAAGACTAAAATCCCAAACTCCCAAACTTAGTGTTACCAAATCATTTTTTGCCCTTAGGTATAGCTCAGAAACATGGCAGTTAGTTTGCAATAGAACCTGGTTGCATTTGCCATATGGGGAAAACAGTTTACGTTACATTTTAGTAAAATCAGCTACTACACTAACCTGTGATATTCTGCCCACAGTCTGAATGAAAGCTTTTCATATGTACAGTTAATATATTAAAGTTATCACACCAAAAAAAAAAAAAAAAAAAAAAAAAAAAAAAAAAAACAACAGAAAAAGATCCAGGATGTCATTTTAAATCTATTTCAAAAATGGTAGAAATAACATAGTTCATATAAAGTCATATATGATGCAACACTTATACAACTAAATCCTGACATGGTAATTATAGAACATACACCTTTTATACATGCTGTAGACCCATTATATACACATGTATAGGAAGATTTATGCTGGACCAAATCTACAGTTATTGTAAGTGAAGCACTATTCACTGAACCAGTAGTGTCTTCTTGTTGTGCTGAAAATGACACAAACCACTGCAAGTCTGCCTGATAACCACTTCTATGACAAGCCTAGGACTGCATCAGTTGCACTGTAAACCATCTTCCCTGTGTTAAAAACTATTGCTCTGCATTTTTCTGCCAGCTTACATAGCTGCCATGTTGTCTCTAAAAGGTAACCTGCCAGGAAAATCTTTTTTTCCACCATCAAATAAAGTTTCCTCTCACAAATCACTCCTGTTTGGAGACCAGGATGTCTAAGAAAACAGGCCAGGATTTAGAAATATACATTTGAAAGTATTTGGACATATCTCTTTCACATACTACATCTGCATCCCTCACGTGTGTTGAGTGCTTTCTGTGGAAAAAGGCTGGAAAAGCTTAAAAGACCTCTATGAGCTCTGGCTTCATGTGATAGAAGAAGACATCTACTTACAACTGCACCTGGAAGGCTGCTTTTGGAGGACATCCAGGCAGTACAGTAGGGAAAGCCTGGGAGCATAGATCTGTCTCAAGTACCTAGCTTTGGAAGGATATAGGGCAATTCAGTACAGTATTTTGAGTGCTATGTGTTGTCTGGAGTCATACTGAAAGCTTTCTGGCCAGATGTAGTCCTCAGAGTTGGTTGACCTCTAAAAGTATGCCACAGTGTTATCTGGAGATGAGAAGGCACATTCAGTCTCATCTACAATTATCCACCTAAAAGAGTTTTGGTGCAGGAAATGTGAAAGGGAGAGGCAGGAAACTACTTGCAGGTAACTTGAGAAAACTTAGATTTCTCAGTAGAGGGACTTAGGAAATAGTCCCCATGAGACAGTTAATACTGAAAAACACTGACTTTTTCAAAAATATACTGTGGATGCAAAATAAATGACCTGATTTTGCATGTGGCATGGTAAAAAGTCTTTTGTAGAAGTCCTCTGGAAGTGGCCTTCACTTCAGTCCCACGGCTTTGCCATTTTCAGACAGGCAAGCAACGATAACACCTTCTATCCACAAAACATTGTCAATGACTTTTTATTTTTCTCTCACCTAACCATGGAGAAGAAAGAACATGGATCTGTATGCTGAGGAGAAAAAGGATGTCCAGCTTTGCAGTAGACCTGGAAACCTCACATGCAGCCTAACCTTTCCCCAATGTGTGGAGCTGCAGCAGTCTCTCACCCTGGGATATATCGTTACTTACAAAGTAGCAGGGAGCTCAAAGTCTGCACTAACAACTACCTGGCATGCAAGTATTTCTCGCATTTATAGGAGACATTGCTACTCCCTTACCCACCTCAGCAGTGTCATGGGCAGGAACTAAAGGTCCACGCAACAGCACAGCAATAGAACAAGTGCTTCTCCTAACTCTGCCACTTGCCTGAAAGTCATCCCACCCCCCTACTCCTGTTTTGCCCTCTGTAAAATGCCAGAGGAGTGATTTTGTTTTGCACTTTCCAGTGCTTTGAGACATACTGTTGTGAAGCTCTAGCCAAGAGACAGACTTCGCTATAACCACCCTTTCAGTTTAAATTGGGCACCTTCCAAGTACAACTACCCTGCAGAGTTTTAAGTATGCAAATCCTATGTACATTATGATCCCATAGTCAACAGCTCAAACTTTAAGCATAGACTGAATAATTTTAGGGGTTAATATTTAAGCAGGTTTTGTATTCTCCTATTGAAAAGGTGACCCATCAAAGAAAAACGTTCATTCCAAGCTCCTGTAATCACTAGAGAAAGTAAATAAGTATTCTAGAAAGTGTAATTGGAGACGCTGCTATAGTTTTTATTAGTTTAAAAAAAAAAAAAAAAAGCCAACATAAAAACGAACATTTGCATATTGTCATTGTTTTTACTGAAACTTCCTTTAAATGTGTTTCCTTTTCAGCAAGCATATGTGAAAAATGACCTCTTATCCATTTACATACCTCCGTGGTGGTCATGTGACCAAGTTTTACGTCAAACTGTCAATTATGATAAGGGACACAATAAGAACAGCTTAAGTGTTGATAACCTGTTTCCTGGCTTTACTGGGAAGTTCTGTTTAAGAGTCCACTTGCGTTCTTCTTTCAGCCCTCTGCTGAAAGCAAAAGTAACATCCACCCAAAACATTTTAAAAACAGATACTCTGTTTTCAGTGGACCTTTGAGTTTACAACTTCCATGATGAATAGTATGAAGAGAATTCCATTTTGAACTGTGGGATTCAGTAACTAAAGGATGCATCTGGTAAGAACAACTTCCTACAAAAAAGGCAGGCTACTCTGGCAGTAGAAAACAGCTTTTTACAGACCTGAAGTGTTTCTTCTTATTATATATATTGCAAATGTTTCACTCATAAATGTCAAAGCTGCATGACAATCATGCATAACATATAGCACACCCAGAAACTTCAATCTCTATCAGAAACCATGCCATTGTATTAATTATTGCATGGTATCAAGGAGTTTATTAGTTCCTTGACAATTGGACCAGCATTAGCTACTACAGTGTACTGTGACATTTTAGAGTGACATTTTAGAGTCTGTTTTCACAGACCTTAATAACTAACCTGTTTATCTATATTTCCCAATGTAAAATAGAACCACAATCACCCATAACAGGCTCCAGAGTTCATTAAAAAAAAAAAAAAAAAAAAACTTATTATTTGTGAACATAGTTATCTGTACTTCCAATAAACACAAACGTCTGTCTGTCTATCTACCCATCCATCCATCTTTTCACATGGTTTTCACAGGTAAAGTCCATGACTACTATTTCTAGTAACATCCCAACTTTAGAGAAAGAAACAATATCAATCTGTATGTAAACATCTATAATTTCAAGAACCTAATAAGTTCACAAAATTGAGAACAGTAACACAAAGCTATAGAAATGTCATAACCAGGAGAATTCTTCTCATTAAGATTTTTGTTACTGAACTAATGATCTCTATATCAAAATCATATAGCCACAAGAATAGAGACACAACTTGTAAAAAGTTGAATTTGATGAAGTTACCACAATTTGTTGCTTCTTCCTCTAATATAGTCTTAGAAACCATAGATCTTCAGTGTAGATGCATAGATAAACTGTGAGCAAAAGTGTGGGGGAGTGGAGGATGGGGGTGAGGAAGGTGTTCCCTACCATTATGAAGATTATCTCACCTTTCTTTTATGCATAGTTCAGTTAAGATGTTTTTCAGCACGGATAATGAGCACCAGGCACTACATTCAACTTCATAAAATAGACCCACCAACCATCAAAAGCAAAATTAAGCAAAACAGTCTCAATCAGGTACTAGTTCCTATCACTTCCCTTTCCTCTGCCTATAGTTCCATTCCTGCAGTGGCATTAATAACACTTAAAAATATTCAGAAGCTGTTGCTGAGTTGAGTAAAGCAACCCAAGTGGTCATAAGTGATTTATAATAGGCATTTCTGGGGAGCTGTTGTGACATGATTTTCTACAACAAAATGCTAACACATATGTGACTCTCTAGCTGCCACTCAAGCAAGAGATTTGTTTAGTAACTGTTAGTGTCAGAGTATAGAAATACCTGGCATTTCAAGTCAGGTAACAGGAAGACCTACCAGCAGTTACAGCTGAAATCAGTCTGCGTTATTATAATTCCTCATTAGAGCCTTGTCTTCCTAACTATCAACACAGCATGCTAAGTAACGCATGCAACAGAATATTTTTCACTGTATCCAAACTGTTCCCATAAATGCAATTGTGGATTGTCTTTCAAAATTTTATTTAGTGCTTCCCATCTAAACATGAATATTCCAGGCAGGTTATGCTATAAATTGTTTATTGGAAGTTCTAGCAAACTATCACTTTGCCAGAAGACTTTGTGTTAAGTACACGTTACAAACTGTAGATGTAACTTTTGAATTTATTGTGATTACTGTACCTTAAGTAGGCTATATCCTGGTTCTATTTAACAACAACAGAAACGTATTCAACAGTACATGCCAATATTTCTCATAACCAAAAAAAATAAATCTTCATAAAGACTCCTCCAATTAAGTAAAAAATGTAGCAGTGACAATATTTATTCTTGAAGGGTCAATGTGCATTACAGGGTACAGTGAATGTTTAAAGGACCTTTCTGGAACTAAAACCATTGGCTTTCTAATTTAGAATTTCTCTCAGCTAACACAGAATGATTGATTGTCTTTATTTCATGTACCCCTTGATTTTCCTTTCCATTCATCATGAGCTGCTTTAAAGCAAATGCATTTAAAACCTGCCACAAGAAGAGTGGTCTCTTAAATTGTTGTAAAGTAATGAAAGGACATAGTAAATCAATCTTATTTCTGCCTTACCAAAGGATAACCTTTACTCCATTGAAGTTGTTTAGACAATTTCAGTGCTCAACCTCACTTTCTGGGTAATAAACATATATGGCACCATCACCTCTGAAATCTCTTTATCATTTAAGTGGGTAAAGGTGACTAATTTATTAGAAACATATATTTGCACTTACATGTTTGTATTTACCCACTTGAAAAAGTTTTGTTATTAAAGTTTACTGTTCCTTCAGATAGTTTAAAACAGTACACACTATTCCCTAATTTTATATATATTACTTGTGTAACAATGCACACACACACACATCAAACACACTCAGGCAAGCGTACATATATATTCATTGCATAAGTTAGAAAATAATAAAAAAAATCACAACAAAAAGGAAAACATGGCACAATTTTTCAATTTACTATATGTCTCAATTAATATAACTAGAGTATGAAGCTATGTGCTTCAGAAGGCAGAACTCTGGTTTTGCACAGTGGCATTGAAGAATTTTTCTGTTTATGAAATGTATGCAAGACCTAATTTATTTTCCCCTTTCACCTACACCATCTGGCCACACATTTCACCATGAAAGGGAGTATAAGACATGGTGCATGTAAACACCAAAGACTGTGATGGCCCCTGAGGTCCCTCTTACTTTTATGTTCCTATGACACTGCTAAAATCTCCATATTTATTTCATTCTATGCAAGGCAAAAATATATAGGAGATGCATGAAATAAGCATTATATAATGTATGTGTTATGAGCTCAGCCAAGAGAAAATTAAATGTGTTTCTGCTAACTTCTGGGCATGCAAAAAGTTTGTAACTCTTTTGATGAACTTGGAAAAAGGTAGAGTGGGTTTAAGCAATAGCAATTTTTAGGGGGAAAAAACGTGTCTATACACATGTAGTGAAAAATTTTTATTTTTTTTTTCGCACATCCATAAATTAACTGGATGTCACAATTTTCAAAGGATACTGCTTAAGACATCACATGGAAAAAAAAATAATCCAAAAGCTACATTGCACTGCTTAAAAAGAGATATCTTAGGTATGTTTCAAGATACAATAAATTATATTTTGTGATATTGTATATCTGTCAACAAGAGCCATGTTATAGTAATTATAAAAAATTTCATAATACAAAAACCTTTGAGAGGCTAACAAAAAAAAAACAAAACCAAAAAACAAAAACCAACCAACCAACCAAACAAACAAACAAAAAAAAAACCACCAGAAAAATTACTGAAAAATCAATGGCTGGCAAAACCACTAATTGTCATTTGGTATTTTCATAAATGTGGACAGATGTTTCCAGTTAGGTCTCAGTGGTTAAAAAAAGCTGGCAAAGTGTCAGCTATCTTGAATAAACTATCATCTTTATGATTTTCTCTGAACTCTGCATGTGGTGACCTTTAAAACGGCCATACTGCCACCTTGCCATGGGAGTGGGTAGGGATAGGGAGTTCCAGACGAAGCACACATCAGCTATATCATGGCAAACCAAGAAAAGGTAGGTTTTACTCAAAAATGAAACAGGTATGTGTACCAGCAGTTGACAGGAACCTGAGACTGAGAAAAATATACAGTACAATAAATACCGAGGACTATTTAACAGCCCCTTTGTTACTGCCATATTTTTTTCCTTACACGCTGTTAATTTCAAACTACTCTACTGTTAAGATCTAGGAGTGACACAAAAACACATAATAAAATATGTTAAATTTCTGAAGATCCCAAATATATTCCTGTTACTAGCAACATAGGTTTTCTGTATGTGCATGGCCTTGCTATTGGTTACAGATAATTTGTTTGTAAACCATCATTAATCTCGGCTGCATATTTTCACAGTTTGGGTAAACACTTCATTTGCATTAAATTTACAGCATTAATGAGATGTGAAATTTAAAATGCTGCTTGAAACATAAATGATGTAAAAAACTAGAAATATGTTTTTATCATGTTTGAGATCAGCAGACCAATGTACGCCTATTACTCCAGAAATGGTGATGTGTTGCACTGAGAATTTGGTTTTATAACTAATTTCCTAGAAATAAAATAGATTTTTTTCTAAACATCTGCAAAAAATATAGCTTGAGAATTTTAAGTTGGACATTTCCCTTTAGAAATTTTGCTTAATTTATTTTGAAATGTTTATTTTTTCCTTATAGACCTCATTCTCACTCCTAAAATTGGGATTACTATGTTGTGAGAAAAGAATAAGGAAATACTAGTCCACACAGTTTTGCTAAAGTTTACATGTATGAGCTCTTGAAAAATGGAGCAATTGGAATAAATATGATAAGAAGTTCCTTAAGATGTCACAATTCCAATAAATAAAGTATATGCTAAATTCATGTTTCTTAAATGATTCAGTTTTGGTTTGAGTAAACTGCATCTTCAGATGACAAATACTAAAACCTTTAAGATCTTATTCTAATCCAAGATAACAGTGGCAGCATGTAGAAAGATAATATATAAAGCTTCTCTATATCGTTACACCTATGTGAAACTTGCCCACCTGTTGCTGGTGTAGGAAGGATGGGTCTCTTGGGCTTAGTCCCACATATCGATTGGCTTGGGATGTGCCTGAGGCTGTGTAGGCTGATTAAGGAAGAACAGAACAGATTGATAAAAATACCGACCTATCATAACTATTACCCTGTGCAGGTACAGTACAAATATGAGAGATCCAGAGTTATGATTATGCAAAATATAGGATGTGTCTGTTTTTTCTTAATTTAAGCTTTAATAGAATGCAAAAGAAAAGTTGGGCCAAAGTCAGAAAGGCACATGAAAATTCCTATAAATGTCAATGGAAACTGCAGGTAGAAATCACAGTGTTCATTCCCATTATAAAAAAGTTTTTCTGCTTAACATATATATATATATATACATATATAAGTAATCAAATGAAGTATGTTTCTGAAAGAATTACAAGGCTGATTCTCATTTGCATGACAACTGTCTAAGGCAGTGATTAAATCATTGGGATTACTATGATGTGAGAAAAGAATAAGGAAATATAAGTCCACACAGTCTTGCTGTTGTGAATGCCCATCATGAAGTTTTAAGAGAACAACAAAAAATAGAAGTTCAGCTAGTGGGGTAGCATGACATTATTCTTTAGAGTCCTTTGGAAGAAGGACACAATGTGATCAGTATTTTCATGAGTGAGAGCTAACTTTTACTGTGCAAGATAATATTAAATATTCATCTCTGTTATGCATCAGGGAACAACATTTTTGCAGATGGGGGACAATTTAGGGAAGTCTCTTGCTTCTCTGCTACAGAAACTTAAAGAAATCCACTTCTGAGGTGTAAGAGGATGTAGGCGATGCTGGGATTAGTTACACAATATGGATCCTTCATCTGTAGGTCACATTCCTCTCTGGTTTCTGTTGGTAATCCCTGAAGGCAGTGGCCTTCTCATGGCTTTTGGTGGCACTTATGAAACAGGGTATGTGATTTTACTCCACTCTGGTGTGGAGATGTCCACTCTGCGACTTGCAAAATTATTGCTTGGAAACTTGCTAGCAGACAAAGCATAACTAATAAAACTGAACAGACAAACCAGTGAGGACGTAGATGAGAGTAGTTACTAAATATTTCCATTAATATTACAGTCATATTGCATATATAAGCAAATTACATCTGTTTAAAAATAATAATGGTACTGCCTTTCTGTAATAAAAAGGCTTTATTTAAAAACTTTATTGAAAAACTACCATAAAAATAATGAATCAGATAGTAGAAAGAATTTATGGTGGAAACCACAAGGCTTCCCAAATATTATCAAAATTTGCTGTTCTCATTTAAAATAATTCTGCTGTTACATTTCAGAATGAAATGCAGTGCTAATCATTTGTCATTTTCGTCTCATAAGACTGAATAATAATGATAACTTGTTGGGCAAGCATATGTTTCATATATGTTTTGATCAATCAATAAGTTCTTGCAAATAAAAGTAAAATTATGCCTTAAAACAATTTAGCATATTAATATTTCCTGTGACAGGTATATTAAGATTGATAATGTGATCTGTATAGATTCATATATAATTTCTGTATTAGTAGAGTGTGATCCCTTATTTATGCAATTTTCTTCATCAGCAAGCCAAGAGAACTTTTCCCTTCAACCCAAGTCATCAAACCAGTTTTAAAAGGTTTTACAAGGTAGGTGCACAACTGCACTGCTCTCAGAAGCACAGCATGCTGAACATGTAGCATGCCATTTTGTGCAGAATTGGCACATTCTATTTAAAATTCTACAGTTTTTTTCTTATTATTATTTACATGCTCTAGTGGAAGACATTGGATCTTTAGGCAAAAAGTTGCTTAGGTACTTCTGTGGAAGCATGAAGATTCAAATATAACATGGAAGCATTATTTCAAATACTGAAGCAGAGATTTTCTAAGGTTCACAGGGTAATTTGAGTGCCTAAGTTCCAATGAAATTCAAAAGAAACTGAACGACAACTTCATTTGAAAATATAGTCCAAATTTTCCCATTACTAGTGGGACAATAATTAATGAACAGATTAGCTTTGCTTTCCTGTAGTAATCACTAATATAGTCAGATTACCAGCCAGCATCCCAGTGCAGACTTGACACAGTATTTGTTCTTTTTACCATTTGTTTTGGAGACTTTGACCTCATCTGAGTGAGGCATATATTTGGGTCAGGCACACTTGTGTCAAACAGGAAAAAGGTTGAAATCATGAATATTTGAAACTATGCATGAACTTGATTTTCTCACCTATTCTAGACCAAAAATTTAGAGCAACAGCTTCTAAACTTCTTAAGGTTTGCTGCTAAAATTAACTCTTCTCAAGAAGTACAAGAACTGCACCATATGCCACCAGACAGGGGACACTGTACAACTTAACCCTGTAACAAATTTTCTGCTATACTAAAAGAACAGATAAAACACTTCCACAAATCTATCTATGTATTTCTATGTATTCTCTTATCTATGTATTTTTATAATTAAGCAGTAATTTGTACAGAAGTTACTTCTAACCTTTTATAATAAACACATAACCAGTTTAACTTTAAATCTTGAACACATATGCATTAAGTCTCATCTTTTCTTCCTGTTCTAATCAGATGGTTCAAAATAGTATATATACTTAAAAATAAAATAAAAATGTTTATGGTCTCAGTTAATGGCAATCCAAAAGTTAGGAACTAGATTCACAGTTCAGACACTAAATGATTCTAAAGTGAGTCATTTAAAAGTAATGATGCTAAGGACATTCATATTATTAATGAATGGTGACTTTTCTTCCAAATCATATGATCCTTGTCTACCGAATCATATGATCAGAAGTGTTTCCTAAAAATCTTCACATCTAATAAATACTGGCAACACATCTCCAGTCAAAATAAAAGTTCAAAGACAACAGATATGGAAAAGATTATGAAAAGACAGTCTGATGCATCATTGAGCATAAGATGAATAATTAAAAAAGTTACCCTATGTCTAGCTATATCTTTGTTCTTATGTCCAAAATTGCAGTTCCATTGACAAAGATAGGATAAATAATATGGTCTTGAACTTATAGTAACAGAGCTTAAAACTTTAAAGCTATTTATTTATTTATTTAATATAAATAATATTTATATTTATTTAATATAAATAAATAAATAAATAAATAAATAAAAGATCAGTGAATATACCATCCAGTGCAAAAATGACAAGGAATTAAATTTTTCTTTTGCCACATCATTTATTTTTGCTAACAATGACACAACCTATATCAGCTTGCAATTTTCATAGCTCGGATTCAGTATGCATTGAAATAAGGCTTGATTTCTGTAGGAAAGCTCATTGAGGAGCAAATTATCCAATCTCTGTTTGGAATTCCATCTGTGGGTCATTGTAATACCTTTCTGTCTCGGTGTGCTTCTCAATGTCTTTACAACGTCCACCTTAGATGAAAGATCATGTTTTCTTTTTCTTGAATAGTGGTCAAATACGCAGACTTTTCCCTTTCATTTTGGTTGTCATGTCACAAGTATTTATTCATGTAACATGATAACATTAGTTAAAATTTGGAGAGGAAAAGCTTGCAGTTGGATCACATATTTGCTCTCCATGTAAATGATGAGCATCCTCTTGGTCAAATAGTAGGAAAAGGCACCTTTTTCTGGCCTCAATTTGGTAGATTGAATCTTCGATGGACATTTTTTGTTTCCTAGAGAAATACTTACTGGTTGCTGTAGGTGAAGATGCCTCACCTTCAGTGGATGTAGTGATGGGTTTAGTATCTGTCATGGTCAGGGTCACAGGTCGCACCGCACTGTGATGGGGAGAGGGTGCCAAAACTGGAGTAAAATGGCCAGGCACTTTCCCTACTACTTGACCACTGCTGTTAGGCTACAAAACAAAACCAAAAGAATTCCTTGTGAAACAAACATATTGTGTTTAAGGAACCTACCCACCTATCTTAGGGTTTTTCAGAATGCCCATCACTGTAGTACCTATTTGCTGGAATGTGCTTTTTTAACAAATCTATGTACTTCTATTAAATCTTTTCATTATGCAGCAGAGCCCTCCACAGATAGGTATTATGTACATAAAAGCAGTACCTTTTGGTGAGTTTTCTTTCTCTCTGGGTGCAGAATATATCTGACCGTTTCAAAATATAGTTGCTGTTCATGCAGTGGCTGTGGACCATACTAAGTCCCATGACAGCAGGATTAAATTGAGCAGGCATAGGCCATGATGTACTAAATATTAAGAGCAAATGAATGATGCAAAACCTCTATTTTCACATGCCATACCACCCTGGCTTGGAGAGTAACCAAGACTTGACCACAGTTGTCCACAGAGATTATACATACTGGAAGGCTAACTAATAATTCATTTTTGAGAGTAGGGGAGAGGGTTAGGATACAACTCATTGTATTGCATACATCATAACCTCTGGCCAAAAGCCACCTACCAAAAGGCATCCTACACAGAAGTGTGTCACAATGGAAACTTTGCAAGTTCAGGCTGTAGTCAACAAAGCCGCCTCTTTCAGAGATCAATTCACAGTATGTACAAAAGGAGGTCTGCATGTGACTTTATGGTACAGGTCATTAGGGTAATATTTTACATTCTGCATATAGGCACGTCTGAATTTGGCAATGTTCACTGCTAAATGTATATATTTATACAATGTTTGAACATGCCTTAGACATTCTGCAGTACATTAAACACTCCGCTGGTAAATAACTTGCAGCAAAAATCAGCAAGTAATCTAGTATTTTTAGTCGTACCTGAAAACTTTTGTTTTAAACTGTGTGCTCTGTGAATCATAGGTTTTTTTAAAATACAGGCAAACAAAATGAAATTTACTGGGAATCTTATTATCAGAAGGATATTTTCAAATTTGAGATAACTCAGAAAAGAAATGGACTGATAAAGAACTTGATTCAACTGATTCAAGGAAAGGTTAAAAGAGGTAAGCATGGCTACAGTAATGAAATAATAACTGTGAGCTGAGATGATTACTGCAAGTACGTGTAGAGTATAAACACACAGAAGAGGAAGGAATTATTTGAAAAGAACAGGAAGTATAAACCAGGGGTAATGGAACGAAAGGGAGAAGGAGGAAATTTAAAATGAATAACAGGAAAAACTTCCTGGCAGTATGATCTATTAGACTTTGCAAATGCCCCCAAAGGAGACAGAGCCTCATTCTTTAGAACATCTAAAAGTAAAGTAGAAGAAAACACTGGCAAGTATAAGCATAAATGGAGACCAATCCTATATTCACAGGAACATTGAGTGATTAGCAGATTAATTTCCCCTATAAAATGATAATGATTTATGAGTAATAATAATAAATTAAAAATAAACCAAACTGGGTATGAATGAGAAAGGGCCAACAAACTACTCCCAAATTAATCTAATTCTACTACTACAAAATGAAAAAAATTGCCTCCAAAACACAACTATGAGGTGGCTCAAAGGAGCCATACAGTTCCAAGATCATGTAAATATATGAATTGGATGGTATTTACCACTTTTCATTAATGTTCCTAATTGCTTAAATTGAAAAGTTATTACTAGGATTTTCATAATGGGTGGGTGAATGAGAGTCAGCTGTCAAAGAAGTTTCAAAATAAGAAAGCAGCACTGATTCAAAGGAATGTCAATAATTTTACATTTTAAATTTCTAGATAACTGGTATGTTACCAAGAGTTTTATTCACTGGGTGAAACTTAATACTTATACATATTTTCTTTTGTTATATACACTTGAAATGAAAACGAAATGTGGCAGAATATACAAAAAACAACTTCTAGAGAATAGAAAAAATGTGCTCTAAAAATTTACTCAATATCTGCTACAAATTAAATCTTTATATTACAGCAAATACATAAAATTAAGTGCCGATATGTTTATTTCTTTGAGATCCATCACAGCAGTGGTTTAGGGATTATTTATCTTATGGGCTCTATTTTAAACACCCAACACCCCTAAAACTAGGGGTCTTATTGACCAGAATTCTGTCTCTACTTGCCTTAGAAGAAAGTGAAAATGTTAACTGACAAATTTGTAAAATCTCTAAGAATTACACAACTTGCTCTGCTTTCGACTGGACCTTTGGTATGTTTCTGGGAAGCCTGCCATAGCGGTAAGCCCCCTCTCCTCCTGGGCAGCCATGCCATCCATGTAGTCTGATGGAAGTCTCAGTTGCATCTGGTGGCTCCCAGGTGGAGTCACAGTCCAGTGACAGAAGGATGCTTAGTTCATGTGGTATGCTAGCATACCCCAGAAACAACTGTGATTCTCTTACTAAAATGATCAGCTTTTATTAGAAACTACGAAAGAAGATTCCAAGGAATTTATGGATTAAAACAGCCAGTGTCATCAGCTTCCAAAAGCAGCTCTGTCTCCAAAGCCAGACTCAAATTAATTAAATGGACACAGCTGGAGTCCAGGACAATTTACAGCAATGTATCACCTTCTACTGTTCCCTAGTGATCCCAGTCAATAGGAATGCAATGGCTCACATGGACTCCAGCTTAGTCCATGTATATATGGTCCAAAACAGCAAACCTTTTCCTTCCTGAATTACAAGAAAAAATCCATTCTTATTTAAAACAATATTTTCCCTACAAAACAGCAGTGCAATACATCTCCCCACTTAATCAAAAATAAGGGTGAAATCCTGTCCTTTCTGAAATGTGTGAGGAATTTTCTAGCAATTTTAGTGGATATGGTTTGTGACATCCCAAGTAACTACATTTCTATTACTTTTTTTTTTTTAATTATGTTATTAAATGGTAGCTATTGTTCCCTATCTGTGCTAAATGCAAAACTGAGTAAAGACATAATACAGGGAAACCAGGATCTGTTATTTCTAAACAGAAAAATCAAACAAAACTCCAAAGAAAAAGGAAAACTTGTTACTTTAGTAAGTTTACTCCTTATGGTGCTAACATTTCAAAGTCTGACTGTACTTTAGATTTCAAATGGAATTATAACTTATCTACCTCTTAACAGTCTTATTAAATATTATCACATTTCCCTAAGTACCTTCTGTCTGCACTATATCATTTATTCTACTTTTATTTTTGTAGTCTCTGACATCTATTCCCTTCCTTTTCTAAGTACTTAATCTCTGCTTTCACATTTGTATCAAAACATCTGATTTGAAATTTTGCATTAATGTCAAGTACTGCATATTGCAGTAACTGTTCACGTGCTACTGCTTGACAAGCAAGGTAGTACAGGAAGGGATAGGTGACAGAGCTTGGTGCACCATGTCTAACTTCCCTTTCATACCAAATGCTTCCTGTATTTAAACATTAAACTAAACTCAGCTGTAGGTAAGTGAATAACTTTCAGGACTTCTACATATATAATTCTTCTTCAAAAAACTGCTCAGCAATTTTTCAGGTGTGAACAAAGGTTTTCCATCTACCACAACTTGTCATGAGAAATGGCATATGTGAAATTCTCTTAATACTTCGGTGTGTTTCTTAGGTGTGTTATATTTGAAAACAGAATGTTTGAAAAAGCCCTGTACTCTCTCAAATTCTGTTACTCCTAACAAACCTTCTTGAACATTCATACTTGTCTTTCTTGCTTGCAGTGAGCAACAGCGAAGCAGTTATAAGTACTATTGTTTAAGTTACTGTAATTAGTTTGCAGCCTAAGATTATGAAATAATCTTAAATAAACAGATAATTTAATTGTCTCAGAGTTATTGTTTAGGCCTGTCTTCAGGCTCACACTGACACTGCTGCATTGATTTACTGCATTGACACTGCTCATCTCACACATATGTAGTTATCTTTGCAAACACAAAACGAAAGGCTTTTAAAATAAAAGTCTAGATAGTGAAGCATGGAAATTGATAGTGGTACAAGCTCAAGAAGACAAGCTTTCCTGGACATCTCAAGTCCTCTGTCCCACTTTAAGGTTTTGTTGAAAAGTGAGAGCTCCTTTGTGCTGAAATAGCCCTCGTAAATTCATTATTCATAATTTTATTAAAAACTGGGTGCTAGAAAACAATTCTGTGACCTCTTCCTGTTTTAACTTTTGCAGTTCTGTCAAAAGGTATTTTAGCATATAAACTACATATCTATTTGAACAGTATCCACTTAAATTACTAGTTCAAATATTTATAGCACATCATTTAACATAACATAATTTTGTCCTTAATACAAGTTCTAGGCTTTAGTTCTAATTTTCTTTGAAGAGATTCTTCACACTAATGCATTACAGGTGAAAAATCAACTGTTACCATCAACTAGGGCATCAATATATCTATATAATGGATTCACAAACAGAACTATTATGCCTAAGGCATAAACCTCAAACAAATTGCAGGAAGAAAGCTGTACCAGATAAACAAACTGTGCAGTTGAAAATGAGAAGGAAAGAGGCAACTACAATGGCCATGTAGCCCCAGTTTATGCAGGTAAACATAATTTTACTGTTGGACTAGAGGCTAATTTGATTTTTAGATGTGTTACATTTTCCAGATTTTTAATATCATAGTACATGTATCTTGAATTACAACAGATTAACCCATTTATGTGCCCAGAGCCACAGGTTATATTCACTGTCATAAATGTAGTATTACTGTAGAATAATCAGGCAGTTAATATCTGATTGTCTGTACTACACACAATTTCAGTTAATCCTTATGTCTGAAGTCTGAACAGAAATTTTGAACAGATATGAATATGGGCATTATTCAAATCAGGATTTATTGCAGCTGTTTTCACTGCTAGGATTTTATTAACAGATTTATAATTAGTATTCTGATTTATAATCAGAATATTTATATCATAAATCATATATGATTTATTATCAGAATAAAATAAATTCTGATTTATAATCAGAAGTCAGTCAACTTCCTCTCAGATCTG